CATATTTGTGCCCATTCCAAAGGTGATCCAACAGAATGCAGAAATTATTGAACACTATCATTATTACTGCATGCAAATAAAATTTTGCTGAAAATAATTCAAAAATGGTTGCAGGTACCATCAATCAACTGCCAGAAATTCAAGCTGGAGTCAGAAGAGAATGTAGAACTGGAGATATAATTGCTGATGTCAGATGAATGTTGACTGAAAGCAGAGAATACTAGAAAGATGTTTACCTGTGTTTTGCTGACTAGGTAAAGGTATTTGGCTATGTGGATCATAACAAATTATAGATAATATTGCAAAGAATGGGAATTCCAGAGCACTTAATTGTACTCACGAGGAACCTGTACATAGACCAAGAGGCAGTAGTTCAAACTGAAGAAGAGCATACTGCATGGCTTAAAATCAGGTGCAGGGTAGCATCCCTTCACCATACTTATTCTACCCATATGCTGGACAAATAATCTGAGAAGCTGGACTGTATGAAGAAGAAAATGGCATCAGGATTGGAGGAAGACTCATTAACAATCTGTGACATGCAGATGACACAACCTTGCTTGTTGCAAGCAAAGAGGACTTGAAGCACTTACTAGTGAAGATCAAAGACTGCAGCCTTCAGTATGGATTACCCCTCACCATCAAGAAAACAAAAATCCTCACAACTGGACCAATAAGCTACATCATGATAAATGAGAAAAGACTGAAATTGAAATTATCAAGGATTTTATTTTACTTCAATCTACAATCAACACCCATGGAAACAGCAGTCAAGAAATCAAACAACGTGTTGCATTGGGCAAACCTGCTGCAAAAGACCTCTTTAAAGTGTTAAGAAGCAAAGATTTTACTTTGAAGACTAAGGTGTGCCTTACCAGGCCATGGTATTTTCAAATGTCATATGCACGCAAAAGCTGGACAGTGAGTAAGTTATACTGAAGAAGAATTGATGCATTTGAATAATGGTATTGGTGAAAAACATTAAAAATACCATGAACTGCCAGAAGAACAAACATATCTGTCTTCGGTGAAGTATAGCCGGGATGCTCCTTAGAAGTCAAGATGCTGAGACTTTGCTTCTTGTACTTTGGTCATGTTGTCAGGAGGGACCAGTCCCTGGAGAAAGATACCATGCTTGGTAAAGTAGATGGTCAGCGAAAACGAGGAGGATCCTCAACCAAATGGATTGGCACGGTGGCTACACCATGCTCAAACACAGCAACAATCGTGAGGAGGGCGCAGGACTGGGCAGTATTTTGTTCTGTTGTCCACAGGGTCACTGTGAGTTGGAACCAACCCTACGGTACCTAACAACAACAACGTACAATCATTTGTTGTTTTAAAGATTTTAGAATCTCAAACATGTTCTGGCTTTATAATAGTGGACACCATTTCCAGAAGGTTACAGGGACACTGAGAATCTAAAATTCTAAAATTCAATTCTGAACATCTTTTGTAGGAAATGCACAATCATGACCAGAATATACTGAGAAAATAATTTATTCAAATGTAAATCAGGAAATTTACTTTTAAAAACACTTAAGAATAATCATTAATGAGCTCTTGAATTTGCCCATTTAGGATTTAAATTCAAATGAAAAAAAAAAAAAAAAAAATTCAAGAAATTCCCTCAAAGTAAGTATCAGCCCTTTACACCAAACTTTCAGGATAATTTCTTTGGTGCAGAACTTAACCCGTTAACTCCAGACCAGACCGAAGAAGCAAGATGCCTAACTGACCTGTGGTATTCTTTTTTCTTTCTTCAAAGATTTTGTCTTCAGGACTTTTGTGTTTTGTTGGGTTGTGAGGGTTTTTTTGGTGGGGTGAGGGAAGCAAGGACTGAAGAGGAGGCAGCAGTGAAACAGTAGAGAAAAATGTAGATTTCACTTTTCAGAGAAGCCCATTGCCTGTGTACCTACTCCTCACTTACCAAGTTTCTTGGTACTGACATTTTGCATTTAGGACAATAATAAAAAATCTACTCTCCAACTATTTTGCACACTAATGCCAGATGTCTGGCAATAACAAATGCTGAGATGCTAGGTGAGAATAACACTGGGTGGCAGTTAAGGTTATGTGTCAGCTTGGTTGGGCCATGATTCTCAGTGGTTTGGCAGTTATGAAATTATGTAATCTGGCAGTTATGTAATGATGTACCATTTTGTGATCTGATGTGCTTATCCTTCATTTTTGCATAATTCCAATTTTCACATAATGACCTGGTCTTTGGAACTTAACCATGCCAATAAGTAGGGAGTGGGTTTATATCAAGCTAGTATAATGACCCTTTAAATAAATTGCTTGAAAACTGAAACAAAGGAATTAAACTAGAACCTAAGGAAAGTAAAACTATATGTGCATATGTAAATGTTACCTCCTAACTTCCTTTACCTTGAATTGCATAACTTTAAATAATATCTTGGATTTTATAGCTTGTTTTAGAGAAGGGAATTTAATCTGCTGTTCAGTGGTTCTTCCACTGCCATCTCCTTCTGGTTTTGTAATAAAATCAATTAACTTTGTCTTTAAACTCATCTAGTTGTTACACATTATTAGTGTAAATGGGGCAGGGGGAAAGGAGAGGTTATTTGATGGGAGGGCTTTTTCTCCAGCCCTGCTACTTGGTGTCAGCTCATAAGGTGGGGCATGATGGACTGTGAGACATTCAGGGAGCAGTGGGCAAGCCTTGCTTATGACCGTCCTCTGATGAAGCCCAGGCCTGGAAACCATAACTCACTGTAGGCCTCTTCACTTCAACACAGGCCTTTGCCTTCTCTGACACTATCTATCTACTTCTCACCAAAGATTTGAAGACACAAGGTGCAGAGTTTGGGAGACTGAATGTGACTTGGGCAAAACAAGAAGCAACTTCAATTCAAGTCCCTGCTACTCAGGTGTCTTTGGATCAAGGAGGTTGGTGATCACCCACACTGCCTCCCATTCATTGCCTACATCCACTATGTGTTTCAGCACCAACCCTCTGTACCCTACCCCTCGGAGGTGGCACTGTCCAGAGTGATCAGCCCCTTCTCTTTTCACTCACCCTTTGCTATTTCATGGAATGCTCACTCACTTTGAGTCTTTGTTGTCACTTCATTCTGAGCACCCACTGGCTCATTCAGATTCCATGTGAGTGTTAACATTCACCATGATATCCACTGGGAATCTCTACCAATATTTTGCACCAGAGCCAAACAATATCCTGATGAGAGAAGGACATACACAATCTGCTACTGAAACGTTTTGAAGATTGTCAAGTTAGATTGTCTTCTTAGTCCTTACTAAGAGTTCTCCCTCTACAAAGCAATTCTATGTTGCTTTAGACTCATCAAGGAAAGGAAGACATTGAAGTAAAGGGGACAACCTCTGCCCCCCAACTGGATCTTGTTGCCAACCACATTCCTTAGCACACTTTTCTCCTGTACATTATCTGGTACTTGTAGAGTGTTTCTGGGTTTATTTTTCTTTCTTTCTTTCTTTTTTTTTTTTCCACATGTGATCAATTCTTTTTGGTTCAGCTGATAGTATTTCCCCCAAACCCAGAATAGATAAGAAATCATTGGGAATTTACATCTGATTACCATAGATTCATTCTTCCATGCTATAAGGTTCAGTTTCAGGAGAAATAGTATATTTTGCTGGGTTGGTGTTTTGTTAGTATTTTTAAAGTTAAAATTAAGTGTTATCTTTCTGAGGAAGTAACCAGAATAATACTCTTTCAAATTTAGAAACCTACTGGTACAATTAGAAGTCAAACATTATTCCGAACCAAATTATACTCTTTTGTCTGCCAAGATATCTTGACAATTTTAATATCCGAAGGTAAGCCTATATGATAATCCCAGCAGTATTCTGGTGATAAGATTTTAGTTGGTTTGTTGAGAAGGAAATACTTGTTTAGGTGGCTTTCATCATGCCACTCTGCTTCTATGTTATTTTTCTTGTCCTGGAGGATTCCCTTGAAGCACTCTTGGGTGATATTTAGAACCTGAGTGGGTGTTCCTCCAAAAATGGCTGCATGGTAATAAAAATCCCCCTGGCCAAATGGAATGTATGCTGCTGACGCCTTACGCCTCTCATAGGTAAACTCATCGGGGTCTGCTTTGTACCACCAGGCCTGCAACTGAGCCACTGATTGGCCTAGGGTCTCCACCCCAAAGTTGTCATGGAAAACCTGGTCCACGTCCATGCAGAAGAGAAAGTCAACTTCGTGCTGGATGTGGCTCACAATGTGCTCCCCAATAGTCTTCATACGCATCATGCTGATGTCCTGCCATCTCTTCTCAGGCTTGATTTCAAACACTTTGAAAGAACGAAGAGGACCCAGCTCTACCACAGGCATCCTGGAGATGTCATCCACCATGATGTAAAAAATGACTCTGTGACCAATCATGAAGTACTTATTAGCAGATGTTATGAACTCCTCTAGGTAATGTTCAATATATCTGAAAGAAGAGAGAGATCAATTTAGCCTCTTAGATTTCTGCAGGAGATCATATGCTATTAGAACTGTATTTTACAGTTAGGAAGGGAATGATTTTTCTCCACCCCAGAAGTGTATTTTCATGTGGACAGATGTCTGTTAGTCTAACACTCCTGACTATTCTCCACTGATCTTGGGCAAGTGGGGTAATTTATTTGAATGTCAACTTTGGAAGGGAAATTGGAAAATCCTGCTGCCTTCTCTCCTCTTGCTCTTAGAAATTGGCTTGTTTGAGAGAGCGTGTGTTCTCCGCAGCTATGGGCCTTGCAGTAAGCTTAGTGGTACAGGCTCTACCTTGACATCTGGAGGCCTGGAGTTTCTCAGTGCTGCAGGTGCCTGAGTGCCTAAGTCCTTCTAATTCTGTGGTTCAATATTAAGGACCTGCAGATATAAACCACATTCTCCAATATGAGCTTTAACAGTGTTGAGGATGACATTTACTATCATGTGCCTTACCCTTTTGTCTTATTTATCAATTGGTTGAGACTTTGAGAGGCAAAGTGGAGACTAGTTCTTGAGCCCTCCTCACAGGCTTCAGCCTGTATCCTAATTTGCTATTGTTATACCAGATTTAAGGATGATGTGATCTTCGGGTCCTTTGGGAATACATTAAGCCCAACCATCAACACTCTTTTATCCTCCTCTATGACGTAGAAAATGGATTCTGGGACATGAATCACCCTCTATATTACATTATTTCACCCAGTGTCAGCCAGCCACTGTTGTTGTTGCTTTCAACTTTATTTTAGCCATTTATCCTTTAATTAACATATATATATATATATATATATATATATATATAACCATTGATGTCTTCTGTAACTCTAAGCTACACACCACCTTGTGAAGCCCTGCTGTGGAGGTCATAGGGTAGAGAAAGAAGAAGTCAGGTGGCTTAGTACCATTCATCCAAACCCAAAACTCATGCTCAGTGAGTGATGACTGAATTTAATATGCTGATCAGATTCCTGGCCAGTCATGATGTTTTGTGAGTAATAATGACTTTCTACTTTCTGTTGTTACTTAAATTGTCTTTCTGTACTACCAAAATAAAGTCTGTTTATAAAGTTGGCCTTTGGAAACCCAAGTGTTTACTGTATTGATTCTTTCAATGGAGAAAACATATCTAAGCAATACAAAGAGGTGTTCGACACAGCCCTGTGGCTTATGGCCAAGAAATTCTTTGGTACTCTGGAACTTTAAAAAAAAAAAAAAATCAATTGTGCCCTGAAGCTTGAGAAACAATACTGGGTGAAAAAAGTCATTGTGAGATTTAACATTGCCTAGAGATTGAAGCACTGCACTTGGCTTCATGCATTGTTATTTGAAAACAAACCAAAAATCACACCTCCTAAAAGTCCAGATCTACTAGTTGTGGAGATTTATTGCCCATGAGCACATCTAGCCTTCTCTCGCTTCAGAGCTGAGAGCACAGTGCTTTCACCAGGATGCGATTTATAGTTGAGTTCTGCAGACTTGCAGTCAGATGGCTGACACCATTGTGAGGGAGTGGATGCCATTCTTTTCTTTTTGGAAACCCCTGGTTCAAATCAGTCGGCAACATGGCCAACTTGTTCTCTTTTATGCCAAAGGATTAGGTGAATTGTACATTGGCTCTCAACTCATAATATTACAAATTCTTCTAGTAAAAATGTCAAAATTCCACAGTACCCTTCTCTATTAGAGATGCCTCTTTGGCCCCTGGGATCAGCACATTCAGTGAAATTGAGGACTTGATTAGTATGATTTGGAATCAACTGGAGGACAACCAATAGCAACAGTATTGTTAATGACAGCCATGGCTGCTAGGCTCTGGTTGGGAAAGCTTATCTTTTTTTTTTTTTTTTAAATTTTATTGTGATTTGGGTGAAAGTTTACAGAGCAAATTCATCTTCCATACAGCAGTTCACATACACTTTGTCTCATGACATTGACTGTAATCTCCCACAATGCAACAGCTCTCCTCCCACTTCCTCTCCATAGCCACCACTTCCCTGTGTCCTTCCCTCCCATGCACTCCTGCCCCCCAGAGGTCTCCCTGTGCATACACAGCCCTTCTATTCTCCCATGATTGATCTCTCCAAGGAGTGTATCTACCTAATGTAAATGTTCAGCTCATATGCCTGCTTTTGTTTGGCTGGAAGCTGTAGGAGTGGATTCAATTCCAGACCTGAAGAGGAGCTAGAGGCCAGAGTCTCAGGGGTTCCACCAGGCTCTATCAGACCAGCCAACCTGGTCCCCCCCCTTTTGTTGAATGATTTTTGAGTTTTATTCCACACTGTTCTCCCATTCTATCCAGAATCTCCTACGTAGATCCCCTCCGAGTGGTTGACAGTGGTAGCTGGGCACCATCTAGTTCTTTTGGTCTCATAGTCACATAGGCTGAGGACTGCATGGTGTACCAGTCGCTAGGACTAATTGTTTCTTTCCATGCATCCAGAAAGGTTGTCTTTGGGGAATTGTCAAATCATCACAGTGTTCTCCTTTAGGCCCCAGCTCGGGCTAGGCTCAAGGATCACCAGGGCCTTCAGCTCTCTTTGTACTAGACAAAAGAAGCATCTTTCCATGCGGCTTTCCTAGAGCAAGTATAGAAGGAAAGGCCTAGGCAGGGGGAAAAGAGGTCAATTGAACTGTTGCTTTTGTTTTAAGGAAAAAAATAAAATAAAATCAGAAATTCTCCAAAAAAGCAAAGAGAGCTATAATTAAAAACAAATATTATAGCTGCTACTTTCAAGAAAGAAAGAGTACAATTTTTGGAGAAATGCTCTGAACAAGGAAATGGAAGCTGAAACAGGAACCTATCCAAGCATTCGAAGAGGGAGTTTGGACCTGCCAAATGCTCCCAATGCAAGGCCTCCAGGAGTGATAAGGTGGGATGGCCTGAGGAACCCACGGAAGAGTGGTCCACCATGCTTGAACACGGAAACCACTGGGCTTGGTGGGTGTGATAGACATTTTTGCCTGCAGCCCTAGGTCCTCACTTTATGGTGAGAATGGGAAGAATCCCCTATTATTGTTTTGTTCACAGTCTTTTGGGACCTTAGCAGAAGTTACACAGAAATGGTACTGTTTAAACATTCTCTTATCTAATAATTCAGATAATTAATGAATAGCCTTTGTGAGTCCACAGGAGCGCTGGTGGTATATAGTGCCCAAGGCATTAGACTGCTAACCAGAAGGCTGGTGGTTCAAACCCACCAGCCACTCCTCGGAAGGAAGATTGGACAATCTACTTCTGTAGTGATACCACTTTGGGAACCCACAGAGGGGTCGCTATGAGTCGGGTCCAACTCAATGGCAGTGGGTTGGGTTTGGTTTTGGTTTTTGGAGTCCACAGGTACCCTAACAAACATTTTGACACTGGGTGAAGAAAAAGTAAAGGTATAATTTATTAGTAATACCTACCTTCCCACAGCAAAAACTGTCAAACCCACAATAATTTTCTGTTTGGCATAATAATTTTCCAAGATGGCTCTGTTGTAAGTGCCTTCCCACACGATGGGAGCATTCCATCTGGTTACTGTCACAACTTCTGGGCGTTTCCTGGTGACAAACATAGAGCCCATGAGTCAGGACAGCTTTGCTAAGGCAGGGCAGAGACTGAGGAAAAACTGGGGACAACTGTGATCTGTTAAGGTCTGTGGCTCCTAGCTGTTGAGCTACAAAAGTTGGCTGGATGACACAGCATTTGCAGGGCAGCATCTTCTGGGTAAGGGACAAGATGCATTGGCCTAGGTGCCTCTCTAGGAGCTCTTGTGCGTAGTGCCTAAGGCACTTGACTGCTAACCAGAAGCCTGGCAGTTCAAACCCACCAGCCACCTCTCGGAAGGAAGATTGGGCAATCTATTTCTGTAGTGATACTACCTTGGAAACCCAAGGAGGGGTTGCTATGAGTCGAGGCCAACTCGACGGCACATAGCAACAAGAGGTGCCTCTTGGGGTTGTCTTGGGGCTCCCTTAGGGACAATTCCACCTCTTCATCTCCTACCCTCTCTCCTCCTCCTGCTTTCCTTGTACGCCTCCTTCTAAATCCCTTTCCTATCCTTCCAGCCCCTTCCTAAGCTGCCAGTGGCGTCTTGGGGCATGATTTATCCCTGGGGGTGGCTCCTGAACCTAAAATGCCCTAATCCTTGTTTTAGGAGCATGAGAAATATTAGAGGTGAAAGAGAAAATGCTGTTTTAATTTGCCTTTTGCCAGAAAGGACTTTTAGATAAGCACCTAGTTACGTAGGACAGAAAGGGACCCCACCTAGGGGTCCTGCTGTTATCATTCATTTTGCAAACAAAGAGACAGACTGACCCATAGACAAAGGCCCAACAAGGCCAAGACTGGAACACTGGGCTTGGGTGCAGATCCCTTTTCCGACCACAATGCCTCTTAACTAGGAACCCAAATGGGGGGAGGGGAAAGCAAGTTCTCTGTACTCAGAGAGCTTGGAAGGGACTTGGCAAAGCCAACATAAACACAGGAAACCACGTGACAACAATGACAAAAAGCATGAAACCATAAAGGGTAATGTAAAAGGATGGGGGCCCCCCCGCATCCTTGCCGAGGAGGTGGCTGAGAAACTCAGCTCTGACCCCATCACTCAGAAGAGGCTGTTTCCCCTGCTGGGAAGCTGAGACTGAAACACTGTCATTTTGGATTCAAACAGGCATGGCACCCTGTTTAGCATTTGCTTGTACAAGGGGGAACATCTTTGCTCAAAACCCTCCCACCTACCACCCACCCTAACCCTAGGGCAAGTAACTGAGGCAGAGTTCTGCTGGTCCCTGCCAGTGGCACCCAGGAGGCCTGGGGAGCCTGCTGGGGTGGGAGGTGAGTGACTAGATTGGGCTCTGAAGAATTTCACCACTGTTCACACAACCAGCGAGGCCTTAAAGCAGAACACAGGCTGGAGGGCTGAGTGTTTACAAATACGCTAGCACTCTATCGGCAAAGCAAGTGAGGCTGGGCAATGCTGGATCCTGCCTAGCTCACTGGAGCCCTCAAACAAACAAACAAAAAACAAACTCACTGCCTTCAAATGGATTCTACTTATAGCCACCCCTCCTTGGGTTTCCAAGGCAGTATCTCTGCAGAAGTAGATGGCCCAATCTTCTGAGGAGTGGCTGCCTAGCAGGGGAAAAATGAGCCTCCCTCAGAAGGCATTCTCTCAAGTCTCCTGTCTCTCTGTCCCCAAATTCTGTACACTTTAACTCTTGGGCTACCTCTGACTTCCACCCTATCTCTTGGCCTTCTTCTAGCCTGCTTCTTTCTTCCCAGCATCAAGATGGGGTCACTCTCAGGCTGCTCACAGCTCTGCTCTCAGCACCCTAAATGTGCCTGCAGCACAGAGGACGCAGGAGTAATCTGTTTCCTTCGATCATGAAAGAAGCTACTGTGGACCCTGCCCCAGCCTGTGCCGGGCACCTTCACTCACTTTCTCACTTAGCCCTTGCAAGGGCCCTGCTTTGTCTATCTCCATTATGTTGTTGTTATGTGCCATCCAGTCGGACCCGACTCATGGTGACCCCTCCTTGGGTTTTCCAGGCAGTATCACTATGGAAATAGATTGCCCCATCTTACTTCCAAGGAGTGGTCGGTGGGGTTGAACTGCCAGCCTTCTGGTTAGCACTATGCCAAGGCTCAGAGAGGCTCCTTACCTTGTCCAAGGTCATACAGCTGGTTACTGATCATGATAACTAAGAAACATTGAGCAAGTACTTCCTGTGGGGCCAGGCAATGCCCTAGGGCTTTACCTGTATTCAAGGCCTCACTCCTTTGAGGTGGATTTTGATTCTGATTAAACAGATGCAAAAACTACAGCACAGAGAGGTTAAGTATTTTGCCCAAAGTCACACAGCTAGTAAGGGGCAAAGCTGGGATTTGAACCCATACAATTTGACTCTGGAGTGCATGCTCTGAGCCACCACACTATATCGCTTCTTATAAGGGCACTTATTGTTATGCTGATAAGGCTGCTGTTAAAACCCACATTTATCCTAATCTAAAGGTAAAACTATTTCCACTAAGCTACCTCAGCATTTTCATTAGTGCTACTAAGAAATGATGAGTTTTTTTTTTAAAGAAGCTTCCATGGTGCTTTGAGTCATGCAAAACCTTTGGCTTTGTTGAATGACATGATTTCAAACCAAAAAAAAAAAAAAACCATAAGCACACACACACACACACACACACGCACACGCACACGCACGCGCATGCACGCAGCTTAAGCTTCTGTAACTGCTGCCTCTGAACTTAAATGGAGATTCTGCCCTTTATTGATAGTTGTCACCATGTCACTCTAGTCTTGAGTCTCAGCCTGTCAAGGGCCTTTTAGCAGTTCTGACTCAGCTTCCGGCTGATTCTTGCAGCTGTGTTAGAGCAAGCCATTTAGTAAGCAGGTGATACTACTTAAATTTTTAAAAGACAGGTAAAAGGAAGAGGAGGAGGAAAGGAAAGGAGCAGGCCCACTTACTGAATACTTCTATGCACCAAGGAAAGGCGTCCTGGTGGCACAGTGGTTAAAGCACACAGCTGCTAACCAAATGGTTGGCAATTTGAATCCACCAGTCATTCCATAGGAGCTCTGATGGCATAGTGCCTAAGGCACTTGACTGCTAACCAGAAGGCTGGCGGTTCAAACCCACCAGCCACTCCTCGGAAGGAAGGTTGGGCAATCCTACTTCCGTAGTGATACTGCCTTGGAAACCCAAGGAGGGGTTGCTATGAGTCAGGGCCGACTCGATGGCAAATAACAACAACAACAACAACAAAGTCATTCCATAGGAGAAAGACGTGGCAGTCTGCTTCCATGAATATTACAGGCTTGGAAACCCTATGGGGCAGTTCTACTCTGTCCCATGGGTCACAATGTGTCAGAATCAACTTAATGGCAGTGGGTTTGGTTTTTTAGGTGCACTGAGGAAGGAGCCCTGGTAGTGCAGGGGTTAAGTGCTTGGCTGTTAACTGAAAGGTGGGTAGTTCGAACCCAGCAGGTACTCTTCAGGAGAAAGATGAGGCGGTCTGCTTCCATAATGATTCATAGCCTTGGAAATGCAATAGGGCCGCTCTCCTCTGAGTCCCTTCCAGATTTGCTTTGTTTTTTGTGTACCAGGAGCTAGGTACTTGACCTTTATCATCTCATTTAATCCTCACAGCCACACATTGAAGTGTTATCATCATCCTGATTTTACAAATAAAGTCAGGGTTGGAGAGAAGGGATCACGTCTTTAGCCATTTGACATATATGGAAGGCCAGGCCAGACCACTCATTTCCTCAGTGCACATTTCCTACATCCCTGCTCTGTGTCAGGCCTACTGCCAAGAGCTGAGAGGAGAGAAATGAGATCCAGTTCTGTCCCTTGAGAATCTCCCAGGCCTGACAGGTGGTCAGCCTGCTATATACTCCTCAACTACACCACTTGGTTCACATCTTCTAGAAAGACAGAATCAGAAAACCAGTGCCCAGTTTGTTACTTGGAAGGAAAGAGTTCCTTCTAGCAAGAAAGAAAAGTAACAATATTAAAAATTAATTTTTAATTAAAAATTAAAATGTTCTATTTCCCAGCTGTTAATTATTGAATTCCACTGACACTTCCAACATGTCAGCAGCCCTGACTAAGAAGCCAGATAACAGCCTGAAAATGCAAGCAGGGAAGAGGAGGAGGGAGGAGGAAGAGACAGAGATCAGTGTCCTAGATGAACCTCTCCATTTAGTCTTAGTCATCAAAACCCATGCAGATCTAACAACAATGAAAACAAATCTTTTTAAAAAAATGATGCAGAGATGACAGAGGGGAGGCCATGCCCAGGTAGGAGTTAGCCTTCACCAATGTCACATGCCAATGTCACCACGATGGGGCTCCAAAAAGGAGGAAGAAGTATGGGAAAGACTCAGAGCTGCCCACATGTCTTCCTTCCAATCAGGGCCCCTGTGGTGAAATTAGTTCCTTTATGTAGCCTTTTGCCTTGGTTCTTTGGAAAAATAACTTGAGAGATTTTCCCTCTAAGTCCTGAGGAGTTACCTTTGCCTAGTTTCCTACCCAGAGGGTTTGTTGTTTTTGTCCAGGCTGATGGACATTTCCTGGGTAAGTTTTAGCAACTTGGATTGACACTTTTTGTCTGGTCCTGGGCTGCAGCCTTCCTTGTGCTTGGTATGCACCTTGCAGGGATTGGTCAATAGACTATACAAATAAGGTGAACTGTAGCCTACTGTGCAAATGAAGTGTCTGTGGCCTACTAAGAAGGGGTTGGTCACTTTGTGGCCCTGGTGGGAGGGCCAGTCCTTGAAAATTGAGAAGGAGTATGTGTATTTAAGCAGCAAAGCCCACAGAGAGGTTATTTAGAGACAGAAAGAAGCAGGAAGAGAAGCAGAAGGAAGAAAGAAGAAGCAGAGAGAAAGAGGAGGCAAGGAATCTCCTGAAAGAGCTGTAATATAAGGACCAAGGGCTGTAACACTGAAGACAGAGAGAGGTCTGGAAGGGACTCAATGGCAGAGCAGGTGGCGACAACAGGGCCAAGAGGAGCCTGCCCTCAGGGGCTGAGAGAAGGGAGACTTTGCCTACATGCTTCCTGATTTTGATCCTGAGTTGTAACCGATTCCTTAATAAACCACATAACTATCAGTATGGCCTGTGAGTTCTGTGTGGCCACCATAATGGATTATCAAACCCAGAAGAGAAGTAAAGAATTCTGTGGGAGGGATGGCTGCTGTTAGAATTGGTAAAAAGACTGGAAGCTAGAGGTATATATCTGACCTCCATCTCATAGGGTCAGCCTTGGGCTGATCTTAATTCACATTAAAGCCCCTGAAGTTAGACAGGTACTATTCTCACACTACTATTACTGTTGTTGTTGTTGTTATATGCCATTGAGTCAGACCCAACTCATAGAGACCCCACCTTGGGTTTCCAAGGCGGTATCACTACAGAAGTAGATTGCCTCATCTTCCTTCTGAGGAGTGGCTGGTGGGTTTGAACAGCCAGCCTTCTGGTTAGCAGTCAAGTACCTTAGGCACTATGCTACCAGAGCACTACAATTACTATTCTCACCATTTTACAGCACCCAACTGTGTTACAACAGCTCATGCAGTTCCACTAGCGTGGGCCAAAGGCTGCATGCACATGCACACACATACACATGTATGTATTTATTTATGATCACACTGTGGTATCCAAGGGTTGGGTGGAGGAAGTATTAAAATACCATGAATCATGCAGCAGTTGAAAAAAAGATGTGGAATGCATATAACTCATTAATTACTGAACTTCTAAGAGGTAGTATATTAGACAGTGATCCAGAGAAGAGCTGATGGAGGCATGAATAAGGATGGTGGCTGTGGAACAGAGTGAAGGAGGTGATATGAGAAGTGACTTGGAGGAAGAATAGACAGAATCTGCTGATAAATCGGATTGTGAGGTAGATGGAGGAAAAGGATGGCTCTGGAGTCGCTGGACTCTGGCTTGGGCCATATATTGAGATAGGAAATAATAAGAAGAACAAGGTGGAGTGGAATCAAGAAATCCATCTGGGTCACGTGAGACATCCAGGTGTCAAGTTGGCAGTTAGATAAAAATGCAGAACTGAAAGGAATCATTGCAGTAGAGATCTAAATGTGGGAGTCACCATCACAGAAATGGTGTGAAATGGATGAGAGCACCTTGCAAGATGGTATCAATGAGAAAAGACAAGGATGCAGGACTTAGTTCCTGGAAACTGTAAAAATCTGATGGCTGGGAAGAGGGAAATGACCCTATAAAGGTGACTTTCATAGGAGGAAAATTAAGAGGATGTGGTGTCATGGAAGCCAAGAGATCTTGATATACAAATTGGAAATATATCCACAATGTATTGTAATATGTTTTGGTATTTTATAGAAAAGGGTATATGGTATGAAACCATTTACATAGACTATTTTACTTGTTCATTCATTTGTTCATTTATGCAACAAATATACTTTGGGGCTCTGAGATGGCTTAAACTTGTTGGCCCTTTAAGCCAATGTTCTTTAAATATCTGCTAACCATTCATTTGGAGGATAAGCTGAGCCCTGCATAGAGGAAAATGGAGAGAGCAACAGCTGGTGGCCAGGATCTAGCTCTTCCCTGTATCCCCAGGGATTAAGCCCTAGCCCCTGTATCCTAGGTCCTGCTCAGCCAAGCACAGCCCAGTCACACTGAACCCATCCTCCTTAGAAGGGAGCTTGATGACCATCTCTGGCTCACCTAGCCTACCGCTTGGGACATCTTATGCCTCCATCTAGTGGACTTATCAAAGCAACAGTGCCTCCATTTCCTTACTTTTCCAGTCATGTTTTAGCATTTCATAGAAGGCCATCCTGCTGTCTGGCTCATCACATGACTGTACACATAAAACCAAACTCACTGCCATCGAGTTAGATCCGACTCATAGTGACCCCTCCTTGGGTTTCCAAGGTGGTATCACTATTGAAGTAGATTGCTCAATCTTCCTTCCGAGGAGAAGCTGGTGGGTTTGAACCACCAGCCTTCTGGTTAGCAGTCAAATGCCTTAGACACTACGCCACCAGAGCTTTACACACAGCAGGCCAAAAGTGCTATCCTTCCACACTGACAAGGACCCCTGCCCCCAAACAGGAAAAGTCTTTCCAGAGCCTAACACCATCACTACCCCCAAAAATGGAATAGGTGCTACTGCTCAGTTTCCCTTTCACATGTCTCTGCCTCTACCACCACTTTAAATGCTGGTGTCAGACAGGATGTGGTCCTTTTCTTCTCTGTAGGTGACTTCATCCAGGCCCACAGATCCCACTGACACGTGTACTCTGGTGACTCTCCACTCATAACTCTAGCACATACCTTCCACCAAGCTCAATGGCACCCTGTGAATCTCCATCCACATGCCACACAGGCATCATTCTAAGCTCATCACTAATGGAGCTCATTATTTCCCCCCCACTCCTAGACCTGCGTCTCCTCCTCAAGTCCCTTTCTTAGTCAATGGCATCACCAGCCACCAGTCTCCCAGGCCTCACACCATCCTGGATGGCTCCTGACAACTCACTCCTCAAAACACATCCTCCTCTATATTGGAATGACTGTATCTCTTCACCAATATTAGCAAGTACTGGTTTCGTGGACCCTGACTGCTAACCAGAAGGCTGGCGGTTCAAACCCACCAGCCACTCCTTGGAAGGAAGGTTGGGCAATCTACTTCCATAGTGACACCGCCTCGGAAACCCAAGGAGGGGTTGCTATGAGTTGGGTCCGACTCGATGGCACTCAACAACAACAACAATGTGCGACCCTAAAGGACCCTACAGGACCCTACAGGACCCTGTAGGACCATGAACTTCTTGAGTAAAACCCTATTGATTGATCTCTCCTGTCTTGTGCTTACCCAGTGCCTACCCAGTATTTATTTTTTATCACAACATAATAAATGCACACACACACACACATATACAAGAACAAAAATTTCTCAAAACAACACTTATTCTTTCTTCATGTGATACTTCCTGATTTTCTATTTGATTTCAATTTTTTTTTTTTTAAAGTTGGCTTTAACCCATTAAGCTAATTTTTGAACAAATTAATGGGTGGTGATCAGCAGTTTGAAAAACACTGGGCTAGCACATGATAAGTGTTTGATAAATAACTGTTGCATGCTTGCTTAATTAACAAATGCATGGCCATTTTTACAGAGAGATGTTCTTGCTTTGACTCCAGATCTTGTGGCTTTCCACAATACCCTGTGGTCTATAAAAGAACCCTTCCTACTCTAATATTTTGCAGTTCACCTGCTACCATTGGCCAATTGATGTCAGAATCATTGTGTTGCTCAAGCATTTGGGTCAACGTAGCCAGACTCTCAGACTCTGACTCTCAGATCAGACTCTCTTCCAAAGCCTGTTGTAATTCCAATATGTACTAAAACTCTTCAAATCAGGAATGTTCTCAATGGCACTGCTGTCTTCACAGCCCGCCCCCACCCCACCTCTTGATGAGCTACGGATTTACTGTTCATGGGGCATCATTTTGTTTCTTACTCTGGATTGAACCAGTCTGATAACTGAAGCTCTTCTTCTTCATCTTCTTTCCCCTTTTCTTTGTCTATGTCTTCTTCTTGATAACTGTGGGTTCTAAGTACAAAGAGAAAGCAGGCAGAGTAAGGCAGGGAGGATAATTTGCAATATCGAGACAGCCAGGGAATATTCTGTTAAAACATGCTTACAGACAGAGAACATGTACATCAAATGAACTGGCTGGAGAAAGATTCACGACACTACACTTTCATTCATAAAAGCATACTTTTGATGACAAGATAGAGTATGCACCTTTCTTGTTACCCTTCCAAGTCAGCACAGTTTGTAACTTAATGACCCAAAGACCCTCAGGTCTTTTCAGAGGGTGGAAGAAAGTAGATAAAATAATTCTCATAGGAACATTTTCGTTTAATTGTCTTTCCTGCAATCTAAACTGCAGCTTAAACTTTAACCTCAAGCTAACTTGGGGATCAAACAAAAAATTCAAATATCCTAGTCCAAATCACAAAATACATTCCTCGCATGATTTCAGTAAGCAAGAAAGATGAGTGACTGAGAAGGCCATGTCCATGAAACCATTCTATTTGGACTCTTTATGAATGTTGGGGGGGTGGACAAACACAGACGGCCAGCCAATCACCTTACCCATTGTTAAACCAGCTCGGAAACCACCAGCCCTTCTGAATGCTGCTCTCACCAACTTCTGGGTTTCTAAGAAATGAAAAAAGATCACAGACATTTTTTGAAAAATGAAGTAGTCCCAAAACTGGGTGGTGGAGTTGGGGGGAGGAGGTTTCCAAACTGGTCTTTTTTTTTTTTTTTTTTTTTTAGGGGGAAAAAAAAAAAAATAAAAAAAAAAAAAAAAAAAAAATGCCAGTCTGTAAAACAGAAGTGAAGCTGCTCCCACTGACGTGAGAGAGGAGGGAACTGAAGCTTGCCAACCAGCCCCATCTGGGGCATAGCTAGGACTCAGTGCATCCGCGGAGCCCAACCAGGGAGAAGATGAAGGAAAGAATGATGAGGGGCATGGGAAGCAATGAGACGTGGACCCGAGTCCTGGATCTGCCCTCTACTAGCTGTGTGACTGTGGATCTCGAGTTTTCTCATTTGAAAATGTAGTTAATAATAATAATAAGCCTACCATGTAGAGTGCTTTGAAGACTGAATGAGATTGCATATGTGTAAGAGCTTTATAAGCTGCAAATTACCATAAAAAGTTGTAGTCTTAATAATAAATGAGTGCACATTTTCAAAAATTGTCTCCTTGGATTAACTGGTGGTGTAGTGCTTAAGGCATTTGATGGCTAACCAGAAGGCTGGCAGTTCAAACCCACCAACCATTCCTCAAAAAGAAGACTGGATACTTCTGTAGAGATACTTACTGCCTTGGAAACCCAAGGAGAGGTTGCTATAAGTCTGATTCAACTTGACGGCAGTGAGTTTGGTTGTTTTTATGTATGTATGTATGTATGTATGTATGTATTTTCGGATTAACTAGGAAAATGGAGGTTGTCCAAAGGTCAGCAGTGAGTAGCTCAGAAATCTGAGGGTCACCGAACCAGAAGCTCAGGAAAACTGTAATCAGAAGGCATCTTCGCTGTCCACCTGTGGAACTTTCCACATTTTCTCATTATTGTGAGAATCTCTCTAAGTTGGGGGCCTTCTGGAAGAGAGGAGACATGGGGGAAGGAGGGGACTGCACCTCCCTTTGGTTGAACAAATAAGGTGGTGAGATGATTCATGAACAGACATAATAATATGAAGAAACTTATTATAAAGCCTGTGCTTCCAGGAAGTGTCAGAGGTGGCTTATGAGAAAAAATGTATGGTTACAGTAAACAGGGAAAACACACAAGAATAAAAAACAAAAAGGAACAGAGAGACATTAATTTAGTCACTCAGGTAAGTATTCTGTCATGCTTTTGATCACCCCAAAAGCTTTCACTTTGTTAAATTGAACTTTTATTTTTTTCATTTTACAGCTAAGATATTGGCCTAGTGGGTTTGAGCAAGTTGCCCAGGTCCTGTGGCATGGGAGCATAAAGGCCAGGATTTAAATAGCAGGGGATAAATTATATCAGAAATGAAGGCTGCAGTAAATAAAGGCAGCTAAGTACAACTCTTTGCTCTGAGCTTTCTGAAAAGCAAACCAAAAAATCAGAAAATGACAGCTTATTAGCTCTCATTGTCTTTAATACAAACAAATTTTAAAAATTATTATTATATATATTAAAAAAAGGACATGTATTAGTTCATTAAGAGACCCAAACACTTTTCCTGATCTTTAGTCTCGGAGAAATTTCTTTCATGGTCTTTACACAATATATATCGAGCAGGATAATAGACAATATCTTTCCAGGTTATTTTTTATCACATACAAGAATACTTCCCAAATGATATCTTTAAAGAGACCCTTGATGTGAAACAAGGGTGAAAAACAAATCATGGTTCTATAAAGGCAAGGCTCTGGGGGCTGAAGGAATATAGCCCAGATTCCTAGGAATCGTACTCACTTTTCTTCAAGTTTGATCTGAGCTTGGTCACTTGCCGCTGTATGAAGAATCAATTATAGGGAGTGCAAGACAGGATGTGGGAAACACCATCACAAACCAAGAAAAAACAAACCTATTGTAGGTTTCTTACTTTTAGTCACCCTACAGGACGGAGTAGAACCATCCATAGGGTTTCCAAGGCTTTAGTCTTTATGGAAGCAGACTGCTACATATTTCTCCCACAGAGCAGCTGGTATGTTCGAAGCACTGATCCTTCAGTTAGCGGCCAAGCTCTTTAACCACTGTGCCACTGGGGCTTCTTGAGTCAGCGGTAGGTAGCTAGAATTCAAAGGTACTTACTTTGAGTGATATAGCCACAAGAAAGAGCCTTCTGGGCTAAAAGCAAACAAGAAATAAAAACATATCATGTTACTTTTAATTCTGAGAAAAACAACTTGCAACTGTTATGATTGAAGCCCTGAGCTGAGTTGAGGGCCTGGCTTTCGACGACTCTCAGATTTCTACCTTCCTTTGAGACATAACTAATGATGTCAGGAGACTGGGAATTTGCAGTTGCAGTCATCTCAATATTAACTAGCACAAGGGGTGAGAAGGAGGTCTCTGGATAATGTCAAATCATGGCTTAAGAAATGGTTGCCCAGAGGTGGCCTCACTGAGGAAGAGGGACTGCACAGGCTGTCCTCTCCTGCTCCGCTATCAGGATAGGAACATCATTTGCCCAGGATTTATTTCTTCCTTCAGAAAATATGATAGAGTTCCCTGCAAAGCCTAATGCCTTGCCCAACTCAGCTGTCTACAGAGCAGCTTCACAGGCATCTCTTAAACTAACAGAGGCTGTGAGACTGTCTTAAGGTACGTAAAAGGCTGGGCTGGAGAATACATGACTTCTCTAGCGGACTATCTCTGTATAATCATTCAACAAATACTTGCTGAGCAGGTGTTATATGACAAGAGCTGGGGATACCGTGTTGGCCAAGACAGAGTCCCCATCTTAGTGGAGCATACAACCAAAAAACAAACTCATAGTGACCCCTCCTTGGGTTTCCAAGAGGGTATCTCTATGGAAGTAGATTGCCCAACCTTCCTTCCGAGGAGTGTTTGGTGGGTTTGAACCACCAGCCTTCTGGTTAGCAGTCAAATGGCTCAAGCACTATGCCACCAGCGCTCCCCTCTAGAAGGAAAGGCAGACCCTATTCAGATAATCACACAGCTGCATGACTTTAAACTCTAAGACATGCTACAAACAAAAAGCATAGGTAACCATGACCACTTAATAGGAAAACCTGGAAGGCTTCCTAGAGGGGTAATGTTTTAACTGAGATCTGAAAGATGAACAGGGGGTCACCAGGTGAAGAGTATGTGGGAAGAGTGTTCATTGAAGAGCAAAAAATATGCAATATGAAAGAGAAATAGTGAGAGGGAAAATCATGCTGGGACTTGCTGGGGATTTTGCTCTTGAAGGGTTTTAAGTAGCGGAGAACAGGCTCTCACTTGCATCTGAAAAAGATCCCTGGAGAACAGACAAGGGGTGTAAGAGCAGATGTGGGAAAGCAGCTAGCCTGGCATATAAGGCCCAGGCAAAGTCAAAAAACGTGCATGGCTGCATTCAACTCAGCCTCACTATTGAAAAAGCCACTAAGGTCTAAGTCAACAGCACTAGCACTGAGTTATGGAAAAGTCTTGGGTTTGGAAGCAAACAGATCTGGACATGAGGCATGGCTACTACCTCTTATGTATGCACAAGTCATATTTGTCCCATCTAGATCATAAACTCTTGAAGGTACAGGTTCTACTTGGTTCCTGTTATATCCTGTAAAGCATTCAGCATAGACAAGTAGCCTAAGAAGGAGTCCCAGGCAATGAATCAGAATATAGGAATTTTTAGTAAGAACTCGGACTTAATTTCAGTTAGGTCACTTAACCTATATGATCTCCATTTGGTCATTTGAAAACTAGGGCCTTCAACTAAAGCAAGTGTTGTATAGTAAAGAGAATGAGCTGCAGACAGCCCTGACCCTTAATCTTCCTGAAAATGTGAACTTGAACAAGTCATTTAACACTTTTTAAAAATAATATTTATTTCATTTTTGGTGAAAATATACACAGCAAAACCCGTCCCCTTTCAGCAGTTTCTAGACATTTCTGGAACATTTCAGTGACACTGGTAACATTTTTCACATGGTGTCAGCATTCCCATTAATTCTGTTCCAGTTGTTTCACTCTTAATGACTTAGACTCCCTGCCCCCCACCCCCGCCTTGTCTAGCTTTCGAATAGCTGTCTATTTGTCCATTTGGTCTTAAGTAGATAATTTTTTCATTTTACATTTTTGAGATTCAGTTTTTTCATCTAGAAACTGGAATAATACCTACCCTGCAGGACTGTTATAAGAACTGGAGGTAATGCTTAGTGCAGTGCCCAGTGCACACCACTCATTCACTGACTAGTAGCTGGTATCATCATAACTGCCATCACCATCATTATTATTTTATTATAACTTCTAAAGCTTCTTCCAGCTCTTAACATTCTATCATTTTTTCCATCTATCCTCCTGTCAAACTCTGCTCAGAGTGCTCTACTGACCAATTGGTTGCCTTGTTCTATTTAGTAATTCTAAAATCCTTCTTGCAGTACCTCTTGTTGTTGTTACTTGCCATCGAGTTGGACCCGACTCATAGCGACCCCTCCTTGGGTTTCCGAGGCGGTATCACTACGGAAGTAGATTGCTTCGTGGTGCAAATGGTTAATGTGCTCAGCTAACTGAAAGGCTGAAGGTTTTTCTGGAGTCTGAGACGTACCTCAGAAGAAAGAAGTGGCAGTCTACTTCTGGAAAATCAGCCAATGAAAACTCTATGAAGTACAGTTCTACTTTCACACACATGGAGTTACCATGAGTTGGAATCGACTTGATGCTAACTTGTTGTCTTAAAATCCTTTGCAGCACAGTGCTGCCCACCTGCTGAGGTTAGTGTACCGAGCTCACCTGAAGCCATCACAAGCCGTATGTTAATGCATGAAGTGGCAAAGGCTCTACTGCCTTTTAAGCCTCTTGCAGACATTCAGGTGGATTCCACACATTTGAGAGTGATGTAGCTGGAGCCCTGGTGCCAAATTAAGGCCCTGAAGTGTAGCAAGTATCTGCTCTGGTCACCGTGCTGGAAGAATGTGCCCAGCACTGAAAAATAACCCTCTTTATGGGAGGCCAGAGCCAGCATGTACATTTGGGCCTCTGGCTCCCATATTTTAATTTTTTGAAGCACACAAAATATGGAAGTACAGCCCTGGCTATGACTAAAATACCAAGGTTATTCAATCAAGCATTCACAGAGTCAGAGCTTGAAGGTTATCCAGTCAGGCATTCCAGCTCAAAGCAAGAGCCCCAAAGGACATCATTTGTGTTTCTTTTGGAGTCTTCCAACTGCTAGAGCTCTTCCTTCTATCTGCCCAAATCCATTGCCCCGCTTTGCCCTCTGGAGCAAATGATGATGATGATGATGTTGATGATGATAAAGGGGACACGATAATGATGATGATGACTGAGTCCTTATTAAGTGCCAGGCATTGTCCTAAATGCTTTATATACAATGACTTATTTAACCCTCCCAGCAACTCTCTGAGGTTGGTACTATTGTCCCCACTTTAAAAACAGGGAAATTGAGGAACAGACTGGCTTAATAACTTGTCCAAGGTCACAGAGGAGGTAAGTGGTGGCACAGAACCCAGCTCCAGACAGCCTGGCTCCAGAGTTTATACTCTTAACTACTCAGCAAGGACTTAAGATAGCCCCAGGGTCCCACTCCCCAAGCCAAGTCATCTTTTCTTTGTGCTAAGGAGGGGCTGGTGGGTTTGAACCACCAGCCTTCTGGTTAGCAGTCAAATGCCTTAGGCACTACATCACCAGAGCTCCTCTAAGTATCTCCAGTTTCCTCAATCCCAATGAGTTGGTTTCCAGAACACTCCTCAACTTGGGGACTCTAACTTACCAAGTTTGTCTTAAAATGAGTTGTTCAGAATGAAACAAAACAACATAAAACAGTAACAGAAGTGGTTAGATCTGTGTAGCACCTGGGGGACTAACAGCTCCAGTATTCTGGGATTCCTCCTCCTATCCATGCGGCCTAAAAGGGCAGTTCCTTTTTCAGTTGTCAAAATGCTCCTCCTGGCTCATTAAATGTTAGAATTTAAGAATTGAAAAACACGTTCAAGTGTAAATCCAGGCCACCATCTTGAACTTGTGGGCCATTAAAACACTTCACCATATAAATTCTCTGGTAGCGTAGTCCCTAAGGCATTTGACTGGCAACCGGTAGTCTGGGGTTCAAACCCACCAGCCACTCCTTGGAAGGAAGGTTGGGGAAAGATTAAGTAATCTACTTCCATAGTGATACCACCTCAGAAACCCAAGGAGGGGTCACTATGAGTCAGATCTGATTTGATGGCAGTGAGTTTATATATATATATATAAATACTAATGGTGCCAGGGAGCTCTGGTAGCGTAGTACCTAAGGTACTTGGCTGCTAACCAGAAGGCTGGTGGTTCAAACCCACCAGCCACTCCTCCAAAGGAAGGTTGGGCAATCTACTTCCCTAGTGATACGGCCTCAGAAACCCAAGGAGGGGTTGCTATGAGTCAGGTCCAGCCCAACAGCATACAACAACAACAGTGGTGCCAACTCAGCTCTCCCTGCCCATAGTTGTACCGTGGACTTTTTGAAACTTAAAGGCTGAGCTTCCTCATGCCTGTTAGTCAAAGGCATTTCTATAGCTGTTTGCACAGACTGTTTTCTGGCAGCAGCTTCTCCAGCTGGCATCACTGGAACTGTGGAAGCATCGTAGTTTCAGAAAGCACTGAAGCAGCTCATGTGTTTGGGGTGAATCCGCTGGTGAGTTGGGAAACTCAGAAATATTTCATTCAATTTGCTTTCTAGAGTTTAAAAAACAAAACAAAACGCACCCAAAATCTTCAGCCAGGCACAAATGAATCACCGTATATTTTGCTACAAAAGTTAACAACTTGATTGCTCCTTTAAACTGCAAATATTTTAGGATTGCAAAAGTTAGGGTGGATTTCTCATGGAATTTCTGTCTAAATTCTCTTAAGGCAGTTTCCATATCTGATCATACAAATAATTTAAACTTACATTTTGTGCTTCGTTTGATTTCACCATCCCTAGACCCCTCCCCCAAATTGCAAAGGTATAAATATGATGTTGGGAATGTAGCAGGATATTACACTTAAACTCTAAAGCCCTTGGTTTGTGGGAGGCTATATCTACAGTGGGAGCTCTGCTGGCACAGTGCCTAAGTCATTTGACTGCTAACGGGAAGGTTCAAACCCACCAGCCACTCCTTAGAAGGAAGACTGAGCAATCTACTTCCATAGAAAGACTGCCTCGGAAACCCAAGGAGGAGCTGCTATGAGTTGAATCAACTCAACGGCAGTGAGGTTTTTTTTTTTTTTTTTCCCAAATGTCTGCAGTGGGAATCCTAACTCCATTCTGAGGCTTTCAGGTTCTTTCTGACCTTTAAACCAACACTGTGGCTGTGCACAGACAAGTTCCAGGACAAACCTAGGGAGGGGCAGTTTGCCCTGAGGAAGAATGTGATTGTGAAAGTAGATTATGCTAGAGAATTTACCTGAGTGTGTTCTTGTCTAATTTAAATTAAGGTTGGGGAATTAAGGTTGGGGTCCTGTATTTTGTAGCCACCTTGTGGCAATGACTCAGTCCACATGGTCATGAGTCAAATCTGGACCACCGCCTAGCCGAGTAGGCAAGCCCCAGAACCAATCCTGTAACCCTTTTTAATCTTCAGTCATGTAAAATCCTCATCATGGTTTCTGGCTTCTGTAGTCCTACCTGTGATTTTGTGATGATCCCCTTTGTTTTAAATCATACATAATTAGCCCCATGGCCCTAACTCAGTGGACTCTATTCAGCTTTCTATACTGTGTACATCCTGGATGATTGTCTTTGTCCTGTCTAAGGCTTAATAAAAGAGTCTCTATAGAACATATTTGAATCTGGGGTCTTTTTTCCCCAGCAAGCAGGAAGGAAGATAATGATTAATTAGCCAGAAGTTACTGGGAGAGCTAATGATTTCAGACAGCCAGGTCCCAGGGATACAGAAAGGGTGGACTCCTTTCTTTATAATTTCAGTCCATCTTAATTGAACATGGTAACTCAGCTGATGCTGGCAGATTAGAGTCAGTACTTTCAACATCATTTTATCACATTTCATAATTACCTGTTGATGTATTCCCAAAACACAACAATGACAGTCGAGACACCCAGCATTGACAGAATTACTTTTCCTTTGACATTCATTATCTTCTCCTGGGAAGAAAGAAGAGAGGGAAACAGTTGATTAAATAAATTAAACCCAGAGTGAGGTATGGTTTTACAAAAATGCTTACCCCCAGAGCTTCTCTAAAAAGACAAATTAATGGATATTCAACTAGAACCGAAGAGTACGTGCCACCTTCAGTTGTGCCAGCTACAATGGCAAATTAGGGCAATTCAACTACAATAAAACCTATGAATGTTGGAACCTATATAAGGCAGAAACCTGTCATAGAAGGAAAACTTAAATATTTTCCACCAATAGAGAGCAATAGAAGAGCGGTAAGAGTGCACCGTATTAAAGGCAGATAACTTGTGAGACCCAGAAAAACAAAGTGCTCATAGATTTCACTGTAATTGGCAGGGTTTTCTGTGTTGGAAAGGATGCCAAGGCCATTTGGGACTCAGAGAGAATGTATCTGGATTGATTACAATATCTACCATTGAAAATGCCCCAAATGATTGTGATGTCTGCCATGGATAGAGGATAGGAAAGTGAAGGAGTGTTTGCCAGATGTTTTGCCCATTTACCATCCAGGTTATAAATGGTTCCCATGGACTCCAGCTTCCCACTCAGATTGCTCTAGCTCTCTGCATATGCCTGCAAAGAACCACTCCATTCCAGAGCTCTGCTGCCCTTGATACACTTTCTACATGCCCCACTCAAGCTCTCATGAGAAAACCACCCTGGCCTTTTACAATCTAGGCTTCACTGACTTTCCAGCTCCCCCAGCTTCTCCCTTCCCCCTCTACCCCTAAGCAAACAAACTACTGGTGCACAACAGGTACCCACAAATTTCTTGATTGCTGCATAAAATTGTGATTAAAGGGGGAGAGGGCTCTCCCCCTTTAATCAAGAATATCAGGGAGGGAAGTACGTTCATTTGGGTGGTCAGGAAAGGCCTCTCTGAGGAGGTGGCTTTAAAGCTGAGTCCTAAGGGATGGAAACAGAACCAAAAAGGCTGAGAAGGGATGAGAATATTTCAGGAACAGCATCTATAACAAGCAACAGGAGAAAAAGTTTTTCGTATTTAAAAATAAATTAGAACAAGATACTAAACTATTATGAGCTCAGCATTGCTGAGCCTAATAAACAAGGGAGAAGGCATTGGTAGGCAATAAGGTAGAGTGGTGGCCAGGGGCGGTGTCAGACAGAGACTTGAAGGAAGTGGAAAGGAAGATAGGGAGCCACAGATGCACCTCAAGTTGATCCAACATCACTCAGATAGACTTCTCTGGCTGCTGGGACATGTAGAATGTGTAAGAGAAGAGCAGACATGAAAAGGCAAGTAAGCAGGTGTGGCCTGTGCCAGAAAGGTGGCAGAAGAAAGGAGGAGAAGTAGATTGATTCCAAATATACTTTGGAGAGAGAATTGATGACACTTTGGCAGGTAATTTAGACAATCAAGGATGAGGGTGAGGGAATAAGCAAAATTTCTGCTTAAGCAGCAATTGGATAGTTATAGTATTTCCTTAGATGGGTCAGAAAGGTCACGGGGGGAACAGATTTTGGAGATAATCATCATGAGTTCCATCGGGGACATGTTAATTTTGAGATATCTGTGAACACATAAATGGAGAGTGTCCAAGTAGGCAAGTGGACATTCAAGTCTGGAGTTCAGCAGAAAAATGTGGGTGGTTCAAACCCACCAGGATTGGGCAATCTACTTCCCTACAGATGTTGTTGTTGTTACCCGACTCATAGTAACCCCTCTGAGGGGGTATCACTACGGAAGTAGATTGCCCAACCTTCTTTCCGAGGAGGACCCCTTCTTGAGTTTCCAAGGTGGTATCTCTATGGAAGTAGATTATCCAACCTTCCTTCTGAGGAGTGGCTGGTGGGCTTGAACCGCCAGCCTTCTGGTTCGCAGTCAAGCGCCTTAGGCACTATGCTACCAGAGCTCCTTCCCTAGAGATACTGCCTTGGAAACCCAAGGAAGGGTCGCTATGAGTCAGGACTGACTCGACAGCAGTGAGTTTGGTTTTTGAGAAGAAGACGACCAGGAAGTAGGAGGAGAAACAAGAGAGTGTGGAGACCTGGAAGCAAAGAGGAAACAGCGGTCAGCCATGCTGTGCAACAAATGTCATTGCCTTTGTGGAGCCACATCCCACCCTCACCCCCACCTGACCACTAGCTGAGTCCCCTTCTCTCCTTAGGCTCCTCCACCACTCTATTCACATTGCTTTTGGAGGTGGCTTACATGGTAACATCTGCATACAGTTCCATCTCTTTTACCTGTGATCTTCCTCAGTGTCTTATTCAACCTTGAATACCAAGTGCCCCCACACAGAAGGAGCCCTTAATAAATGTTTAATGAAATAAAGTGAGAGCAACATGGAAATTTGTCCCTTCAGGTAACTAGTTATTTTCCAATTCTTTTAACAGGGGGTTCTTAGATTCCTGTCTTGCATCTCATGTCTGCATGACCTTTATTGTTAAATCTAGTTGTATAGTAAAGGGTTAATTCAGGAGGCCTAGGTTATCCAAATGTTTCAAAGAAAGGATGAGTTTCTGAAAGATAACTTCTAAGCCCTAGGAATATCCTGCATGATCAGACTGTCTTTTTATACCTGGGGCCGTGGGCCACATCAGATAGTTTCCCTTGGGGTTGGGGGTGGGAGGGTGGGCTGGATTCTGAGCAGCAAAGATCAGCCACATAGGTGCTCTGGCAACTGGAACTTTGTGCCTGGTCTCTCCTGGACTCTGTCCTATAAGACTTTTACCTTTTTTTATTTTAATCTGTAGGCTTTCATTGTAATAAGCTGTAACCATGAGTATAATGGCTTTTATTATACTGAGTTCTACGAATCCTTCTAGCAAATCATTGAACCTGAGAGTGGTCCTGGGCACCCTCAACACACCATTTAAAGAAGAGAGAGAGAGAAAAAAAAAAAAAGCTGAATTTTCAGCTACAACATTCTATTCCTCCTTGCTTAGAAAGTGAAGTTCTGTTTGGAAAAAAGCCAAAGCTGAACTCAAGAGTTGTAACCCAACCTCTGTCTTTCAGGTGGAACTACAATCAGTGGTATTCCAGGATCCCTGAGAAGATGTACCTGCTGGGCTGCATGTGAACCTAGGTCTCGGGCATCTTCCCTGTAAGTAACACGTAAACTGGAGCATATGGCCCAGGCAAAGTCAAAGAAAGTGGATGGCTACATTCAAGTGAGCCCCACTACTGAAAAAACGCACTTGAAGTCTATGTCAATAGTATTAGCATTGGGTGCTAGAAACGTCTTGGGTTTGGAAACAGACAGCTCTGAAGCTGAGGCCATGGCCCCCTCTCCATGCTGATGTCTTTGCTCCCAGAGAAGTACAGGATCCTAATAAGACACAGCCTTTGGATCAAAGTAGGGGTTTGAGACCCAATTCTGACACACACAAAACTGGGAAACCGTGAGCACACTGCTGTTCCTCAGGTCCTCAATCACAATTACAAAATCCCCAAAGCTCTGAAAACCAAAATATATTTCTGTAGATCAACTGACACCAAGGTTCCAACTGATGTGAGGCTATTAATAATCTTTATCCCACTTAGTAAGATTGTTATACATTTCTTTACATATTTTATTATGTGGTGCTACTGTACTGGGGTGTAGCATGATATATGATACATGCACCATATCAAAAAGAAATCTGAATTCCCACATATTTGGCCCCAAGTTTTCAGAAAAGGGTTGGGGGCCGCTACAGGATTATCTTAAATCAGTTTCCATGTCTTTAAAATAGAGATTAAAAATAGTAATGATTACAAGAGATAAATCAAAAAACCCAAACTCACTGTCATCAAGTTGATACCGACTCATAGAGACCCCCCCTTGGGTTGTTTTTTTTTTTCTCTTTTCTTTTTTATTTTATTTTATTTTAATTTTATTTTGATTTGGGTGAAGATTTATAGAGTAAATTTACTTTTCATACAGCAGTTCACATATACTTTGTCTCATGTCATTGACCAAAATTTACAATGCAGCAGCTCCCCTCCCACTTCCTCCCCATAGTTACCTCCTCCCAGTGTCCATCCCTTCATACTCTTCTGCACCCTGAGCTATCTCCCTGTGCATAAGCAGCCCTTCCTTCTCCCATGATTGTTCTCTCCAGGGCGTGTGTCTACTTCAGGTAAATGTTTAACTCACATGCCTGTACTTTGTTTGGCTGGAAACCACAGGTGTGGGTTCAATTCCAGACCTGAAGGGCAGCTAGGGGCCATAGTCTCAGTGGTTCCACCAGGCTCTATTGGACCAGCAAACCTGGTCCCCACCTTCTTTTTTTTTTTTTGCCTCCAAATGATTTTGAGTTTTGTTTCACATTGTTCTCCCTCTCTATCCAGGATCTCCTACATCCCTTCCAAGGGGATGACAGTGGTAGCCGGGCACCATCTAGTTCTTCTGGTCTCATAGTTGTATAGGTCGCAGAGCAGATAGTGTACCACTCGCTAGGACTGATTGTTTCCATTAATTTTGGTTTTCTTCTTTCTTCTTGACAAGGAGAGACCCGTTGTTGCATCTAGATGGCAGCTTGCTAGCTTTTAAGATCCCAGTCGCTACTCGCCAAAGTAGTAGGTGGAACAATGTTTTGTATAGTATGTTATGCCAATTGAGCTTGATGTCCCCTGCGACTATGGTCCCAAGCCCTCAGGATCAACTACTCGGTCCCTCTGGGTAGCTGGCTGTGACCAAGCAATGACCATAACCTTGCCCCTTGTCAGCTCTACTATACACCTGGGAATTCTGATCATTCACATGAACTTATAGGCCCATTGTCTGCCAACCCTATCCCCCTTGGGTTTCTGAGGCAGTAAATCTTTACGGAAGTAGATTGCTCAGTCTTCCTTCCATGCAGTGCCTGGTGGGTTTGAACCACTAGCCTTCTGGCTAGCAGTCAAATACTAAAGGCACTATACCACCAGAGCTCTTTGATTATGGGAGATAATAACCATAAAATGCTTAGCACGGTGCCTGGCAAAGTATAAATGCTTAGAAAGTGCTAG